ATCAGAAAAAAAATCTGTCAAACCGTCCTTGGCTCGATCATTGACCGATAATATAAAGAGGGATTATAAAAGTGATGTCACGCTGAAAAACCATTAAAAACGATAAATATTTTATTCTTTTTCATGGCCACGTTAAGATAACGCGAAGGATATCACAAAGGCATCGGAAATATTGGAAATTATCTATGATATAATCCTTTTAAACTGAAGGTTTTGATAACTGTGTAAGTTTTGAAAAACAGTGACATGAAGTGGGAATCGAACCCTTTGTATTATGTGTCTGGTGTTTAGAGAAGGGTTGCTTTAATTGGGAACTCAATTGAGTCTTATATTACATACTCTGCATACCCCCATCAGGGTATAAAAATCTGAATAAAATATGTAAAATAAAACAATTGAAAGGTACCTAAAATTCCTTTTAATGTCAATTTTACATTAACCTCTTTTAAAATTAGAATTACTAATTTAATTCGACGTTAATTATTATTCTAATTTAAAAATATAATCAAAATAAACATTCACGAGTTTAAATTCTAATTAGAAACAAAAAGTAAATAAAAATATTTATTTAAAAAAAGAACTAGAATTCAAAAAATGAATTCGTATGTCGATAAGTATTTAAAATTGAGCAAACATATTTTTACGTAAGCCCAAGGTTACAAAAAAAATATATCACAACAGTGAATCACTATCAAGTCAAGGCAATGACCGATATCGGTCAAACGCAAACCGCATTACAGATTGTATCGCAAATTCATACACGTAACGCGGATGGGCGCGTTAACGTATTTTGAATTACCTACGTTCTGTGACGCGAGTGACATCACGGGCCAATGACCTGAATACACCGCGTGCTTTTCATTTTATATTTAGGCGAAACCATTTTACAGTTGACCTTTGTTTGTGAAAGAAATGTTTGTGTTGGTAGATCAGTTCACAATGGTTTGTAGACCGTTATATGACAAGTTTATGTTGATCTCTGATAAGGTTGTAGTTGTTTTTGTTGAGAGATCTTTTAAAAATGGATGTTTAATCCGCTATGAACTAATGATTTCATCTATCTTTTTCTACCAATGATGGAGTTTGTCTTAAAAATAAATCAGAAGTAAAATAAAATTATCGTGATAAGACAGGAAGTAGGTATATACATAGTAACAAAAAATGACCCAAAAAGATATTTTGGCAATGCCTCCCACACGAAATTAGAAAGCCTATCTCCTGATAGGCCCCAGACGGCTAGACGGGTAAAATACGATAGCGAGAACAATAAAACATAATTTATCAATGAACTAGATCTGGACGGATCTAAACAAATACGTAAACTAATACTTTCTTTCGTAAAAAAGCGATAATCACCCAAAATGACGTACTCACGACTAATGACAGGTCAATGACGTTTCTGACGGTAGCAACATCATTCAGCTTGTAACGTCATTAAGGAAAAAAAAGCGAAACGTCAAATGGGAAATTTGGCGCCTAAATTTAAGCGGCAGTGGTAAATAATTCCTTTTTTAAAATACAATTCGACTTCAAAATATTTTATGTGTTTTTTAACAAAAAAACCTTATTCCTATGAAAATCTATCAACAACTGTCATTTTTCCAATATGGCGGAAACTTGTGAGTATGACAGTTACGTTTTCTGTCTGCCATAGGTCATTGAACTGTTTGTATTTGAAAGAAATCATGACTAAGTAATTATAAGTAACTTAATGAATCATTTTTGTAATGGACTTAGTATTAAGGAATTCAATGTTAATTTATTGTGAAACCACAATTTCGCATGCAGATAAACTGGACTGCGAAACTGCTGAGTGAATTTTGATAGAATTTAGAAGAAATATAGATCAAAACGTATATGAATCTTTAGGAAAGTCATGAATTAATTTGACGGTTTGGCCAAATATATTTTATGTACAACAAAAAGCTGTTATACTTCTGTTGCAGCACAGACTTCTTTGTTAAACTATAAAAATAGGGTTGTCAAACAAGACTGGTTGTATTAACATAACAAAATGCTCTATTGTATAGTTGAATGTTATATTATAAATGCTTCAGTTTTCAAACGAATTCTAAGTGGTAATTATTTTCGTATGATATAAAAGACCACTTGTCTCAGGGTTTTCAGCTCCAGATCCAAAATGTTTTAGTTGTCAGCGAAAATATTCTAAAACTGTCTTCGTATTTGTATCACTTTTCGAAAACAAAAGTGAGACCTTAATTTTATTATGGTAAATAGGTTGACCTCTTAAATTCTCAATATAAAATCGAAAGGGAAAAGGAAATACAAAGAATTACCGAAATAACTCCAAAGACTTCACACCGCATAACCCCCGCGAAGTAAAAACAATTAAGTTTTGGAATTTCATTAATTCGTTAAGTATGTTAACGAAACCATTCAATTTGAACGCGCCCTAAAATAAAAGTGACAGCATACGTCACGTGACGTCACGGGTCGACGACCACGAGCGTAGTTCTATTTTGAAACATTTTGACAGTGTGTTTTTTTAATTTTTTTTTATAGCCAATTTTATGCTGTCTGTTACTTATTTTTAATTGATTGTGTAGGCCCGTATTTTGGGTATCTTTGAAAACGAAGGTTTTATAATTAAATTGTGACTTATAAGCTTTATGTGGCAACGTTATTTCGGCGCTCCACCCACCGTTCGTGTCAATACCGTTCCGTGGAAATTTTCAGCGAGCGAAAAATCAATAAGCTATAATAAAATCGAGCTGTATTTTATTGTGTGAACGACGCCTTCCTTTCTTATTCTGATTCTCTTATTTAAAATAATCGAACGATGATAATTAAACTTTTTGCTAAAAAAACTTTTTTGGCAGTTAACTTTTTACAAAACAATGAACGTCACTGTCACTTTTTTTTTTTTATTTAGTGAAACGTCACGTGCATGACACAACGTTTCATACAGCCAGAAATAAAGAGTCTAGTGAGATGAAGACTTGTAAGAGGTGAACGTATCATCAAATTAACGGGCAATGTCCTTGAACTCTGAGATGAGGCCAATTCCACGCCGGATGACAACCCCAAAATTGTTCTATTGCGCCATTGCGACAGAAATGAGATGACAATTGGACTTAAAAAATTACATCTAAACGAATTTAAATTGTCCGTTTTCCGTGGGAGTGACATTTTTCTGTGTTTATTACTTGTATTCTTGATTTGGTTTTATGTGTGTGCCTAGTTAATTCTAGATTTTTTATATACTATTGTGACTAAGTTTAATAAATCATTGTCACAATTTCATATAAAGAAAAACTCTCACATAATAAATACAATTACTTACTAAGAACACAAACCCAAATAAAATTCATTACAAAAAAACCTGTTAACAAAATTACTTTCAAAATTGACATTCCATCAATAAAAGTTACATTATAATTAATGTACACTGTGTTACGCAAAGAATAACGCCTTATAGGCACATAGGACATTATTCTATGTGGTGCGCTCCACGTGTCAGTTTTCGACGGGGTCATTGACATCAACCTGCACTTTGACTTGCGTAGTATGTACGTAATTGTTTATTTTTTTCTATTCACTTAATGGCTTGGCTTGCAGAGTACTGTTAGTTTTCTGTTGTGCTTTGTCTACTGGGCCCTTTTTTGAGGTTTGAAAAGAGGTTTTAGTCAGGCCACGATTTTATTTTTTGGTTTTTAAAGAATATCTTTGAGTTGACTTGATTGTTTGTTTTTTAGACAAACTATGTTTAAATCTGCTGAATATTTTCGCCTATCGAAACAAATTAAGTACTTACAATAAGAATATGACTTAATTGCAACACTTAAAAGTCCATAATGAAACAGAAAGTGACATACATCACTTTTGACGTCATACCCTAAATGCAACGACAATTAACACAGATAACAAATAATGTAAGGGACAAAGACAAAACTCTGGTAATTGCGGAAATTAAAAATTTAGGGCACAAACAATTTAAATGCAATTGGGGGCAATAGATAAATGCATTGAATTTGTAAATAATTATGTTTAAATATCTAAAAATTTAGGTCGCATGACATTATTTGTAATTACGATATTTTCCAGTGGTTCATTTGAACTATTTCATTTTTAATTGTAAATATTTAGGGAATTTTATTCTAGATTGGTTTACTATTCTAAAAAAAAATGATTCATGTCAAACTGTTGTCAAGAAAGCGGATCAAAAGATCTCCACAACATAATACAGTTGACAATTAGAACATCTGAATTTGACCTTCAGTTGACCTGTACAAAATAGGCCCAAGTGACAATTTGTAGTACACCAATTAGAACCATAACGGCCTGCTTAGAGAATTCAATTTCATTTAATTATAGCAACAATCCCTTCTAAGGAATTTCACGCCCTAATTTAAATAAAGGTTAAGTGCATCTTCAAGTTCTAAATTTGAATCAATGTCATTTGGTGTGACAGTTGTTAGGGTGTTTTTTTTTTAGGTGAAAGACATTTCTTTATTATGCCTATGGTTAAGTCATTGATACTTTTTAGTTCATTCAATGATCATATTTTTAATTTTCATTAGCAAAAGCATTTTACTAGAAACGTAAGTGCTATCACTTTGATACGTATTTTATTATATCACAACTTGAACGTTTTATCTATGACATCATGGATTCGCGATAATGCATAGCACAACTAGGAAAATAAAATTCAACATTGCATAGGTCAAGTTTAACAGAAAATTTCGAGATGTTTTCCCAAATAAAATTGATTCCTTATAAAAATATTTATCAGTTTTATATGAACTTCGCCCCTACAAATTGGAACGAACAAACAAACAAACAAAATAATTGATATATTATTATTTGCATTCACTATCAATAATAAAGTTTGGCACCTAAATACGTAATTAATAATGTTAGTTATTGACAGGAGCTAAAATAAATTAACTTAATTTAGTATTGTCAAACAGGATACAAACGCCGAGAATGGAGAATTTTAATTTTTTAATCAATTTTTTTTTAAATAAAAAGGTAAATACCTCGTATGGAGTTAGGTCCTTTCTTATCCATGTACATTCCAGGCATAGATGATCCATACATCCCTTCGTTTCCACCGGGCGGAGGTGATGTGCTGTCTGCCACAGACCCTGAAGTGATGTCCATGGGCATTTGGTTGTGCATGACCTGCTGGCCATCAGTATGGGGCTCTCTCTTCAACTGCATGCCTTGTGGCAGTCCCTGGGATTGGTGCAGCATGGTGGAAGCCGACGAGTGACCTCCGTGTTGATCTGGAGGCCACTGCGACCCAAACAAATCATGAAACTGGTTGCTGTTCATGATTTCAAAGATCTTTGAATTTTTGTCCGCCGTTTTGCCGCCTTTTCTTGACCTCTCAAAAAAAATACTTCTAAGTTCCTTTCGGGCTGTGATTTTGTGTTCGCGCGAATCGGATTCGCATTGCGGTCCAAACCACTATCACTAGACGTTGGTGTTCCAATCGAATGTTCAAAATACTTCTCTTTTTAAATGTTTTTTGTTCGACTTTGTCGGTAAGGCAACTGTTTTGATTTTGTAGGTTTTTTTTGTGTTCGTTACACCATTAGTAATTTTTCTTCGAAAAAACTATGGCACTCCCTTTTTTTATTGTTTCTTCAACTTTGTTGATATTTAAGCACCAGGTTTTTGGGTTTAACTGATAAATATATTCCGGCCAAGCGGGGATGTAAGATTTCTTTTTGCGAAGTTTAATTCAGGTATTAACTTTTTGAAGAGCAACAAATTTTTTGGCATTTTGTCTCCGTGATTATGTTTTGTTTTCTTCCGTTCGTCTTAAATAAACATCTAAGTAAGGCACTATTATATTTATTGTAATTATTCACTTGTTCCCTTATTCTACTGGTTATATCTCTTTATCAATATTTAGAGAACACAAAAAAATCTGTAAACAGAAAACCGAAACAGAAGAAGAATTTATTTGAATTTAAAAATATTCTTTAGAAATAAAAAAAAATATTTAAAAATGCCAATTTGTTGTTATTATTGTTAGAGATTTTAGTTAACCGAACAATGATGCTCAATTATCTAAAATCCGTTATTCGAATTTACGTGGAACACAAGATTTAAATTTGAAAATTTTCGAAGTTGTTAGACGACACCACGTTCTATTTTCAAAAACAATTGAAAATTAAAATCCTTGGGTTGCACTGGAAGGCACTGTCACTGTTTCTTATAGTAAAATAACAATACGTGATCACCTCACTGTTGGAAAAATTTGTACGTTAATATGTTTGTACTATTGGTTGTTCACAACTCGGGATCGCGTCGGCAACTGGCAAGTCCAAAGATGTTGACGCCAGAGCGGTCCGAACATGACTGACGCATTGACGAATCTTCGGCCAGGCTCACGAAAAAATTATATATTTTTTCATTCCGACCGAATAATCAACTTAGCTTATAGCGATAGTTCAGTCGCCCCGGCGCGGCGCGGACTAGGAATCGAGTAGAAAATCCTTCAATTATCATCTTTAAGGGGAAATTGTTTAAGGAGGGTCAATTAGGAATATAGTACCTCCGAAACTTGGTAAAATGTATGCGGAAACGTGTGTAATTACGGTGTAATTAAGAGACAAAATTGCCCATCAATGTGCGAACGGATCGCAAGGCGTTGTGTGGTGGTGTGCGTACGTCGGTGGCGTGTACGGATATAGCGGCGCGCGCACACTGGCACACAGGCGTCACCGCAGTTCGTTGACCCCGGGACCCAAACAAAGTAGATTTCGGTGAAAAGTTGTTGAACTCTAGTTTTGAATGTGGAATCACTGAACAATATTACGTCGCCGCCTTTCCTGGCGAATTTTTTCGCCGACGAACGTTTCAAATTCAAATATTTCGTTCTTTTTTTTGTTCGAAAAAGATGATTCGTTTAGTATTTTTTTCTTGGTTTTTTGCGAGTCTAGCTCGTGCTTGGCAACTACATGGTCTGTTATTCGAAATTAAAAATATAGTACATTAATTTTTTTACGCAATATTTCTTAGTGATGACGTATAAAATGTAATTTCTTTTTCTTATTTTTTTTTTCAAAAAACAAATTCCTTCATCAAAAAAAAATCAAATATCATCGAAACTGTAACAATTGTACTTAAATCATAGTATGTTTAATCAAAACAATACCTGAACAAAACTGAACTGTTAAAAGGTCATTGACCCGGGAAAATGTATTGACAACCGCAATATAACTAAATGTGAACAAAACAGCCGCTACTAACTATCCCGCTATTTGCATTATAATACAATAATAAAAAACAATAACAAATCAGTTTAGATTCGATTCCCGAGTCGGGCAAAATTACCACATTTCCAAAAATTTTGTTTCTTGTAATGACTCTGCTAACCCAGTTATGGAATAATAATAGATCATAATACCTACATGATAGGTTATAAAAAAAAAATTCGTTATTTTTTTCTTCATTTTTTATCGTATTGTGACATCTTATAGCATATAGCAATCTAATCGCGAAGTCAATGTACTTAATATCACGCTAGCTTTTAAAAAAGTATAGGCAGCAGTCCACATTCCACCTATACATCATCAGTCTCATATGATCTCATCATCATCAACAGCCTATAATTGGCCACTGCTGACCAAAGGCCTATTCTCACACGGAGAAGGTTTAAGCATTAATCACCACGCTTGCTCAATGCGAGTTGGCGATTTCAAACTTATAATTAGAAATTATAAGCCCAAGTTTCCTTGCGATGTTTTTCCTTCACCGTTTGTCAGTTGTGTCTAAATAATCTTAGAAAGTACATATAACTCGGAAAAGTCACATTGGTACTTGCCGTTGGTAGGTTTTGAAGTCAGCATCCTCATGCATGAGAAGCGGGCGTCTTAAACCTCCGGGCACTACGACTTTAGAACATAATATAATAATGATCTACCCCAGTAAAAAATCTTAAATATATAAAAAAATCGAGCTGTAACATTTCTAAGAATATAAGTAAACGAGCAGACGGATCACCTGATGGTAAGCAATCAGCGCCGCCTATGGACACCCGGAACACCAGAGGAGTTACTAGATCGTTGCCAGTCTTAAAAAGGAATACTGGCTTTTCTTAAAACTTAGAAGAACTGATCAATTAGGTGTTATAAAGCTGAAGTAATTTGTTTGTGACTGCCTCGTTGGCCGAGTGGTCGCAAGTGCGACTGCCGGGCAAGGGGTCTCGAGTTTCCCGGGTCGGGCATAGTATTACTGGGTTTTAAAAAAAATATCAGTACGGAGTCTGTAACTGTGTCCGGTATATGACAATAGGCTCACCCCCTATTACATGGGACTCATAACATAAATAGTGAAAAGTGGGTGTTACATTGTACAGTGGTATAATGTGCACCTCTGCCTACCACTTCGAGGATAAAAGGCGTGATGTTATGTTATGTATAGTTTGTTTGTTAGTTTGAACGCTCTAATCTACGTAACTACTGGTCCAAATTTGATTTTTTATGTGTTGCATCAAGGAAGGGTAGAAGCTATAAAACATAATTCATGGTACTATCAATACGAGTCAAGCAGTGTACTGCGTCGCGGAGAACCTAACGGGTAACCGGGCCACCAACTCGACGTGCAGGAGAAGGAACGGGGTAGTTTTTAGTCAGTAAGAGTCTGACACTCCCTCCCGCCTCACCCAGGCGGGAGCAGTCATTCGATGATTTTACCCCCTTAAAAAAAAGCAGTGTACCGCAGGGGAGTAGCTATAGTTTATTATAGTTGTATGCATGGTTAGCGCAGTAGCTGAGTGACCGGCTGCTATGAAAGAGGTCGTAGCCTCAATTTCCGTACAGAACGAGTATTTTTGTAAGCCACAAAAATATGACTGGCGTAAATTTTCACAGTAGCAGTGGTACTGAGTAGGATTGTGTTTGTGGTCGTAATGAACTTTAATGATTTAAGTTTAATTGAGGTTCGTTTCCTGAGTCAGACTAAATAGACACTAATATATTTGAAAGTTCTCAAATTATCTTTTTTTTAATATAAAGATTGATACAATATTATTAATGCTTAGTTGTAATAATTATTTTGTTATATAAATATCGATAAATATATATCTAATATAATATGTTATGTATGTAAAATATCTTAAGGTCACCTCAAGGATTATTGCAAAGATATAATACTATATATGCATATATGTAAGAATATTGATAAGATTATGTTATTGATATATAGTAAAAAGGATTACATTACATAATATTACACTTGTTATTCAATGCAGGGATGGGCAAAAGTTTTACGACTACCTCATTGGACGAGTGATTTCAAGTACGACTACCGTGCAAGGGGTCTCGGGTTCGATTCCCGGGTCGGACAAAGTCTCACTGGGTTTTTAAAAAAATTCTCAGTAGCAGCACGGAGTTACATAACAGTTAACTAACTAACTAACCACAAAAAGTTCAATGTGACTCTTACTATCAAACAAAAACTAGGTTAATAATGAATTGAACTATCCTAATATGTCAAAATTAACTGCCAGACCATTAAATATTACTCTCACTGCGTACTTACATCAATGGTAGCCACATATTACAAAAAACGTATACTCAAAATCGATACAGCATTTCCCGAGAAACGAATAAATAGACAAACATAAAATGTAAATCTACAATCTCCAATCTCCAATCTCAAATTTTCAATTTCAAATCTCTATTCTCGAATCATAATTCCTTCAACTATTGATGTTTCATTAGACGTGTATGGTTTAATTGAAATAAATGCTGACTTTGGCAATTGCAATCTCCAATATCATGCTTTAAATCCCCAAAAATTTGAAAACGCAGTTGTATCTGTTTTGGCGTTCCAGGAATTCATAGGCGACATCGATTGCTTACCATCAGGTGATACGCCTACTCGTTTGCCGATCTATTTCAAAAAAATACACCCTACAGAGCGCAGTAATCCCAGAATTAAAAAAAAAAGAAAAGTAAATAACCCTCGAGGGAAGCCGCCGACCTTGCGAGGGAAAGGGACAGAAGGTGTGACGTCACATCGTATGGTCTCGCTCACTCTTGTAGGCTAACGACCTATTGATTTTTCGACCACGTGGTACTCAAGGCAAAGGAAGTCAGTGTTCAGCCTAGTATTTTTAATGAAAGTTTTTTCTCTATGGTCTAAGGGGGCTAAGGGTAAAGGGCGCGGTATTACAGTTAATGGGTTGGATTTTCATGTTCTAAAATATATAATTCGGTACTAAATATAGTAGTAGAATGAAATCTAGCCAGTGTATGACAATAGGCGTGCCCTTATTACATTGAACTCTTCCCAACTGATGAAAAGTGGGTGTCTCTTTTACTATGAGCACCTCAGTCAATTTTTCAGGGTTTTATTCGAGATTTACTAAAATTAGAATTGAATTGAATAACCTTTATCGTGCACCATTCATAAAATTATAGTAGGTACGTACATAATGGGAACAAAGGCGGTCTTATCACTGATAGCGATTTCTACAAGACAACCTTTGGGTGGACATAATGCAATTGAAATATTTAGTCGAGATGTGGACTATGAAAATAACTTCATCCGGCACTTTTTAATTTGAAAATTTTCTCCGGCACATAGCTGTCAAAAGTGGGAGCTCATTTAAAATATTATGCGTAGGTACCTCTGGCTACCCCTTTCCTTTACAAAACAGCCTAATATTAAGTTATATAATAGGGATGATGACAGAGTACGTAAATTAAAAATCTAATTAGTCCGTAAGTTAGGTAATGAGAAAATATTACACACGTATTTTTTTATTTTGTCGAATAATAAAACAATACTTAGATAAAACGAATCAACGTTTAGGAGTGGGGGCTAAAACGTCATTTCTACGTATAAAATGTACATAGAAGTGATGTCACGTGACATTTGAAATCAATTTATCGTCGAAAGTATTCGTTTCTGTAAAAAAAGAAAAAATACGTGTGTAATGTTTTAAAATAATCTATCAGACGGACAGTAAAATAAAAATTAGTAATCTATCCTATTACAATAGTCGCGGAGAACCTAACGGGTTACGGGGCTCCGACTCGACGTGCAGGAGAAGGAACGGGGTGGTTTTTAGTCAGTTAGAGTCTGACACTCCCAGGATCATTCGATGATTTTCCCCCCTTAAAAAATACCCTATTACAATAACTTTAAGGTTACAAGTATTTTGATGATAATCATCAGTATCATTGTCATCATCATCGGCCCGCTTTTATACACAGAACACAGGCCTCTTCAGT